TCTCCAGCCAGCTGGCTGGAGAATTCTGGGAGTTGAAGTCCACAAGTCTTAAAGTTGCCAAGGTTGGAGACCTCTGATATAGGTGACTTTTTCAAGAGACAACTAGACTTTTTTTTCCCCTTTGAAGATGTTTTGCCTTCTTCAGTTCTGAAGAAGCTTCTTGGATGAGAAGCAAAACATCTTCAAGAAGAAGAAAAAAAAAGTCCAGGTGTCTTTTGAAAAAGCAACTTTGGGACAACCGTGACTTGGGATGGCTGAAAATCTCCACAGACAACCTCTCTCTGAGGGAGATGGGTGATTAAGAAATAGGAAGGAATGAAGGAAGGAAAGGAAGTGAAAGTAAAGTGTGGGAGAGCAACCACCTCAGTCCAGAGGAGGGCTCAAGCCTGGACTCCCTACATAAATATAAGAGGCCAAGGTCTGACCAATATCCGAGTGTCTTTGTGTCCTATCGAGACTTTCCCAGGCGGATGCTGCCAGTCTGGGGAGATTCCTGTATTATAGGCAGAGAAAAAAACAAAGTAGTTAGTTTGAACTCTACGTGTGTGGGTCTGGTGGTTCCCGCCTATAAGTGGTTATCTTACTCTTGTTTGAAGATTGCAGATCCTCCTGAATATGCAGCGGATGCAGGCCTAGGAAAAAGTGAAACCCCTTGCTATAAAAAGCGCAGAGCCTGCTACTGATGCCAAGTGGATGAAATGTAGGTATTGATATTCACAATGCAAGTGCCATTATTTTGTACTTGCACCATGATCTAGCATGCACCCAAAGGGTGAGGTTGCATCACCGTGCATGATTTGTCTCTTGTGCCAGCCCTCCTAAACAGGAGTCTGCCACCATCTAGTCTGGCAGGCAGCCCTCTTTTGATGACCAAATTCACACCTGCAAGAGCCATGGCTCTGCCTTCCCTCAACTGATTATGCCTTATTTGGAACAGGAGGGGGGGGATGATTGGATAGCTCCAGACATCAACGCAAGAGAATATTTATAGCTCAGGGTTGAACCATGGGGGTCCTTGGTGCTCCCGGAGCTTGTTTACTTGTGGACATCTCATTACCCAACTAGGTAACATCATCAGCGCTACTGAGTGTAGCTGACTACATGATGTTACCTATCAGGTAATGAAACGTCTGCAAGAAAACAAACAAGCTCAGAGAGCACCAAGTTATGAGAGTTATGACTCCAGTTATGAGAGGCAAAAGATCACCCCCTCGGTACCACCACCTCCGTTTTTCGACTGATGGTCTGCAGTTGAAGGGCTTTTCCTATATTTATTTCTGTAAGACAAAAGGTGAGTGGGAGACAGGCCATACAAGATGGAAGAAGAGGGCCCATCTACATGTCCTTAGCATACTGATAAGTATTAGAAGGGAGAACAAGGTTTCATACAAATCTGAAATTAATCTACAAATCTCTTCAGAACAGTTGAAGGGTAAAGATAAATGGAGTATCGTTCTGGAACACAGGGGATATTTACAAAGGGACCGTCTCTTTAAATTATTACCCCTGGTTATCAGCTCAAGGAGTCCCATGGCTGACACCTTCACAACTGTCACAATCATTCTGCTGCCGGTATTAAGAGTTTGGGTCCTGCTTAGCATTCGCATTTACTTACAGCGTGACACCTGCTGACCAAATGTCTACTTTGAAGCCAGAAAAGGTATCAAGGCCGTTGGCAATTTCTGGAGGTTGAAAAGCTGGTGATCCCTGGCTGGTTCGGCACATGTCGTCCTCAGCAAATGGATGCAAGGCCTGTGACAAGCAGATAACAAACAGTCATTGCTTTGAGGGTGAAGGCACATGTCTTCAGCAGCAACTGGAAAATTGGGGGCAGCTGTGGGTTATTTTTTTTTAAAAAAAAAAAAGATTATTTCAGCAATGGTCATGATGTTCAACTGGCCAATATCAAACTTTCATTTTTTTAAAAAGAAACATTAAAGGGGAGATTTAGCATTTTAAGGGCAGTAAACCTAACCCAGGAATAAACACATGTTATTTGTTACTAAAAATCAGTGGGAAATCGCAAGCTAGTGTTTTGCAATTGACTACTGTGGTTCCGTTGTTCTATTTAGGGAAGGCTGAGGAATTCTGGGAGTTGAAGTCCACAGGTCTTAAGGTTGCTAAGATTTGACACTTCTGATCTAGGGGGTTCTGAGGGCCCCATGCAGCCCCACTAACTATCCCAGTCTCCATGGTGTAGACTGGGAGTTTCTGCCTTACTCAGTTAAAAAAAAATACTTCAGAGAAAGAATTAAGTTGTAAATACTTGAAAGCCATCACCACCTAACATCACTATGACCTGAGAAAAAGGGATCTGCCTTGGTTTGCCCAAATTTCCTGGGTTCTGGCTTTCAATACAAACTGCTTGATGACTGAAGACAGCTGTCAACTGAAAAGCTTCAGAAGTTTAACAATGAACATTGTCAACTTTGTTCTGTAATTTTTAGTTTTCAGATATACTGCAATTCCCCAGCTTGCACCTATCTGGCTGGCTGGGGAATTCTGGGAGTTGAAGTCCACTCATCTTGCTAAGGTTGAAAAACCCTGCTGTAAACATTCAGAGAGGGAAAAAAAAGTATGGTATAAAAGGTGTCCAACCAAGGGACAAGCAATCTGAGTCAGCCAACAGTCGGATGAAGGCCCGTAGCTGTGGGTTATCTTAAGAGTTCTAAAGCAACTATTCTAGGCAAATACTGACTTTAACGAAAAGAAAAGAAAAGACCCTGAATTTAAGGTTGTGTCTCATCTCCTGCCTCAGAGGGGGAAATAGCAATATAGCCTGTAGCCGATGTCCCCAACCCCCAGGCCATGGCCCACTACTGGGCTGTGAACTGTTCAAAACCAGGCCACCCAAAGCAGCGGTCAAGCGCATTTCCCCTTGCATGAGCAGGCGTGTTCATGCATGCACGCTCCATTTGCACCAGTGGGGAGTATGCACACATGCCGTTCATGCGGAACCATCCCCTCCCTCCCCGCCCCCACGCCGATCCGTAAAGCTGGAATGGTTGAAAAACTCTGGCATATAACAAATAGCAATGTAACATATAGCAATAGCTCTTAAGATTTATATACCGCTTCATAGTGCTTTACAGCATTCTATAGGCAGTTTACAGAGTCAGCCTATTGCCCCCAACAATCTGGGTCCTTATTTTACTGACCTCAGAAGGATGGAAGGCTGAGGCAACCTTGAGCCGGTCAGAATTGAACTCCTGGCAGTGAACAGAGTTAGCCTGCAGTACTGCACTTTAACAACTGACTTCCCATTTTAAATATTGGTGGTAAACTTAATCTTTTCAGTGGATACTGCAGTCAAGTTGCAGCTAACATGCTCTGAACCTGCGTGAAATCCAATGACCCTTCCAGTTAGAGCTGCGTCGTCCAAAAGACCCAATGAGATACTTCCAGGAAACCCACATGCATTCTGCATGGCTGGTGCAGTGGTTAGAATGCAGTAACCGCAGTTTAAATCAGTGCTCACTCCAAGAGTTCAATCCTGACTGGCTCAAGGTTGATTCAGCCTTCCATCCTTCTGAGGTGGATAAAATGAGGACCCAGATTGTTGGGGGCCATAGGCTGACTCTGTATACCGCTTAGAGAGGGCTGTGTAAAGCACCGTGAAGCGGTATATAAGTCATAAGTGCTATTGATATTACCTGTTCCTGCTATGGCTCCCTAGTAATTCAGAGTGTTATGATCCTAGAGGAAGCATTTTAACTTGGATAACCAGTAGCCAAAGATAGTCTTGTCCGCCATAAATTTGCCCAACCCCATCTTAAAGCATCTGATTCGATAGCTATAGCAATTGACATTCGACATGGAAGTTCAAAAGCATACCTCTGCCACACCTAGATCTGATATCTTTAGAGTCCCGTTGGTTGTTAGCAGGAGATTTCCCGGTTTGATATCTTTGTGTACGATGCCCTGGCTGTGCAGGTATTCCAAACCATCTATAAGTTGGCAAAAGTACCTGCATGAGGTATGAGGAGGAGGCAGAGGGGAAATGAGGTGGAAAAAAATCTGAAGAACAAGCACAGTGCAATAGCTATGTTATTAAGCAGTTAGGATTATCAACCGTGATTTAGAGTCTGATTCTGACCAGGAATCTTACAATGTTTGTGCATATCAGGAACTGTGAAACAGAACAGTTACTGAGAATTTATAGAACGATGCTTGCATTATGTCATGAGCTGTCAGTTTGGTATAGTGATTAAGGCAGAAGGCTAGAAGGTGGGAGACCATCAGTTCAATCCTGCCTTAGCAACAAGCTAGCTGATTTCGGGCCAATCACCAGGAGACAATGCGTTCTAGTCCCGCTTTAGCTATGAAAACCAACTGGGTGACTTTGAGCCAATCACCAGGAGACTGGAAATTCTAGTCCC